GGGGTTGTTGGGGTCGAGGAAACACCAAGAGTCGTCCATATCGCCCACCACTCGACTCGGGATGGTGTGATATCTTCCTTTGGACCAAAATCGACAAAGTTTGGGAGAAGGGCAAAAGCAACATCGCGGGTGGGTGGCGGACCTCGATTTGAGTTGTGGGGGAGGAGATAGTACAACTGATAGCGGAGTGGCTTATATTGGTACTAGCAATACATAACTGGGCTTTTACATCGCCACTGGAGAACTTAATACGACAACAAAGAGAGACATCAAGGAGCTGAGGTCATTAGGTTCAGATGCTTCAGGATTGGGCGACTCGCCTGGACCACGGCTGCATTGGGCCATTCCAACATGGTGCAAGGGGTGGGTCGCTCGTCAATCGATCCGATTTGCCTGCCATCTTATAGTCGGTGGGGAGTTTCATCCATCCACATCCAATCGCTTTCGAGGGAGGGCCGTCCGTCTCCGGCTTCTGGCCTCTGGCTTCCATGTTCTCACTCCTCTTGCTCTTAGTCTCTCGCTGTGGCCTTTGAGTTATTGTTCAGCTCGATAGGTAAAGGTAAGCGGGTTGCCCAGCCGGGTAGGTTTCAGTCGTCCGAATCTCCCAAAAAGATGTCAATCGATGCTTGAAGACTGTTCCTGTTCATATTTGTAACATCTGAAAATCTATCTCTCGAACCCCAACGTGTGCAGCGACATGTCTGCCATCACAGCCTCGATCATCCGAGAGTGTCGACCTGATTTGACGGTCTACGAGGCTGTTTACAAGAAGATTCATGCAAACCCCGAGCTGTCTCACTGCGAGTCCGAGACAGCCTCATTAATTATTCAGCATCTCCGGGGCTTGAGCGCCGATTTTGAGATTCGGCCAGGGATCGGGGGCCATGGGTTGATTGCGATCTTGCAGAATGGAACTGGGAAAACCGTCCTGCTCCGAGCAGACATCGATGCGTTGCCGGTCGCAGAGCGAACGGGCCTCGAATACGCCAGTCTACGAAGGCAAATCGGCAGCGATGGAAAAGAAACGCCTGTGATGCATGGTAGGGAGCGTTCCATTTCGATTCCGGTAGAGGAGGAGATGACTGATGACTCTTTCCAGCTTGCGGACATGACTTTCACGCTGTCTGCTTACTGATCGCAGCCGAGACTCTCCTGAGGGCACGCCAATTTTGGACGGGGACACTCGTGTTCCTCTTCCAACCAGCGGAAGAGGCTGGGGATGGAGCCCTGGGAATGGTCAACGACGGCTTATATGACAGTGCGAGGCATAACTGTCCAATTCCCGACATTGTTCTGGGGCAGCACGTGGCCCCGATTCGGGCCGGGGTGGTTGCATCCAAAAATGGCCCTATTATGAGCTCCTCCGACAGCCTCAAAGTCACCATCTTTGGCCGAGGCGGACATGGAAGCATGCCTCATCGTTGTATTGACCCCGTGGTGATCGCCAGTCATATCGTCGTCCGTCTCCAAACAATTGTCAGTCGGGTGGTACCTCCTGACGAAGTCGCCGTCATCACGGTCGGGTCCATCCATGCTGGCGAAGCGGAGAATGTGATCAGCGATCGCGCTTTTTTTACTGTCAACATTCGAACACTCGATGAAGAAGTACGACGCACCGTTCTCGACCATGTTCAGAGAATAATCAAGTCCGAGTGCGAAGCAGGGTTTTGTCAGAAGGGCCCCCAGATCGAACATCATATGAGCCTTCCAGTCACCGCAAACTCGGAGAAGACTGAAACGAAACTCGAACAAACCTTTGCGCAGATTTTCGGGAACGAGTTTGTGGTCGCACCAAAAAGCAGCCTGGCAAGCGAAGACTTCAGTATCCTTGCTGGGTCGATTGGAAAACCCTACTGCTTCTGGCTATTTGGCGGTATAGATCAACAGCAGTGGGATTCCCTAGCCGCGCAGGGGAAGCTAGACACTGTGCCGATCAATCACAGCCCGGACTTTGCGCCCGCAATCCATCCGACCCTTCAAACTGGAGGGGATGCCATGGTTGCGGCAACTCTCACTTTCTTGGAATCTTCCACATAGCCATCCCCCATCGGGCGAGAGCTGCCGAGTGCCCGCTGTTTGGAGGGAGAGTAGCGAAGAGAAGTTAGGAGACATTTGCCTCAGTGCGTGACGTGTCTACTTGATCCCACAACAGACTCCTGAGGCTATTGTATCTCGGCGCGCTTGGTCTGTTGGAACTTTCGCCGCATTGGTACTGGTCAGCACATGTATAAATAGTCAACTGGATTGATTCGCAGGTGGACTTTGGCACTAGTACTGCTAGCAACCACTAGCTGGATCTTAATTATTCGGTTGATGACACCCGGGCCATTGCCGGGCTCGACTCGCTTAAACCCTGCCACCAGCTGCCAATCAATCAATTACAACAACCATGCTCCAACCCACAACCAGTTGGGGCTCAAGAGCCACAGGTTTCCCTTCTATACCAGAGCTGGGGCTGAACGTCCTACACACAAGAAGTGTGTGACAGAAGCTTTGAGCTAAACGTCTATACAAGCTGAACCTCAGTCTTGCACGAAATGCTAATAAAACAAACAATCCTCCCACCAGGGGAGTAACGTCTGAAGCGGAACCGCGCATGGCAAATTCAGTCTCGTCAGACCCTCCGATGGCTGCGATAGCTCCTGTTAGCAATGCAGGTCGGCAAAATGCTCTGGCCCATATGACAACCCACCCAGAGCATGGAGACGCCAAACCAAACGGCCTGGAGGTAGATGATGACCACTCTTCGACAGTACATCGTCTCCGCGGGCCAAGGGCGCAGACACGTCGCTCTACTTCCTCCGTCACATCCACCTCAAGTGTTTCTACGATTCCTCGACTAGAGGCCGTGGTAGCGCGCGTCAGGAGTCGACCGCCAATCGTCCCGAGCAATTTCGCACATGAGCTCGAACATCAGAAAACGACCGTGGAAGATCTGGTCGACTTTGACGGCGCGGACGACACCTATTGGCCCGTCAATTGGTCTATGAAGAAAAAGGTCATTACCACGGCGCTGTATAGTTCCACGACTCTGACGGCCTCTTGGGCCAGCAGTGCATTTAGCCCGGGCACTCAGCAGGTGGCACAACACTTCGGGGTCAGCAACCAAGTCGCGACGTTGGGCACGAGTCTGTTCCTTTTCGGATTCGGCCTCGGTCCTCTCTTGTGGGCGCCGTTGTCTGAGGTATTCGGTCGAAAGGTAAATGCCCACCATGTATCCTTTGATACTTTGTACGGGGACGTGAGTGAGAGAGGCCCAAAGATACTTAGAACTCTGAGATGGAGACTGAGGCTGATCGTTTTTCGGAATAGACCTCCGTCCTCCCACCAATGCTCGTTGCTATCTGTTTCGAATTTGCGGCTGGTTCTGCAAGCGATTTCCAGACGCTGATGATAGCCAGATTCTTCGCTGGGTAAGGCAAATCCACCCGAACATAGCAACACGGTATGCATGGCGTTTGTCGGGCCTTTTTCGACTTACATGCCTACCTGTAGGTTTTTCGCGGCCGCGCCGGTAACGAACACGGGTGGAGTCTTGAGCGATCTGTTCCCGCCTTCGCAACGGGGCATCGCCATGGCCGCTTATGCGATGGCCGTGGTGCTGGGGCCAGGTCTGGGACCCATCGTCGGAGCGGCGCTTGTTGTTCAGCCTCGCCTCGGCTGGCGGTGGACAGAGTACTTCTCAGGCATCCTCCAGATAACTGTGTTGATCGTGGATGTCATATTCCTCGACGAGTCATACCCACCTCGCCTCCTGGTATACAAAGCGCGACGCCTGCGACATCAGAGCGGCAACTGGGCACTGCACGCAAAGTTCGAAGAATGGGATATTTCATTGGGCGAGTTGGCTCGCAAGGTTGGTGCTACGAACGCTATTCGAACCATGACTCGACTTGGGGCCGTGGGCGATGCTGACAACGTCTGATCTAGTTCTTAGTCCGGCCGATACAGCTCTTGACAACGCCAATTTGTTTTCTGATGGCGCTCTACGCGAGCTTTTGCTACGGCATCCTATATATGCAGCTTGGTTCGCCCCTTCACACTCCATAGTTATGTCCTCTTTCTCTAACATTCTGGATATAGGAGCAATCCCTCTCATCTTCGAGCAACACCGCGGCTGGAGGGCCGTCCCGGCATCCGTCCCATTCTCGTCGCTGCTGGTGGGATCCTTTCTCGGCGCCGTCGTTAACGTGTACAACCAGGTGGTCTACAACAAGAAAACAGCCGGGAAGGTAGCGCCCGAACTGCGCCTCCCGCCGATGATGGTCGGATCGGTATTTTTCAGCGCGGGCTTGTTTATCACAGGTTGGACCGCGGATCCGTCATATCCCTGGATCGCGCCCGTGATCGGGATTGCCATGACCGGATTCGGCTTCTTCACCGTCTTCCAGGCGGCGCTGAACTACCTGGTCGACACGTTTAGTGCCTACGCGGCGAGCGCGGTGGCCGCCAACACGTTCCTGCGGTCGTGCTTTGCCGGAGCGTAAGCAATTTTCCCTGTCGTTTTCCTTTTCTCCCCCCACCTTTAGGTGCGTTACAGAGGCTGAAATAAACTGACAACTTCTTCCCACAGATTCCCCCTCGCGATCGCTCCGCTCTACAACCGTGTGGGAATCCCATGGGGCACGAGTATCTTTGGATTCTTCGCCATCGCAATGGTGCCCGTGCCGTGGGTCTTTTACATCTTCGGCGAGCGGATCCGAAAGAAGGGCAAATGGAGTCGGTAGATACATACCCGAGTAGATATAGATGAAAGAATATCTTCAAAGACTTTTTCCCACCCTAGCGTGAAAGGATACGCTATTACTGCTAGAACATCATGCCCAAAACGAAGGCAAGTGGATCAATACGTGCAAGACATTTCTGTAGCCAGCGATCGAGGCTCCAACATAGGTTAGGTCAACCCACCGGGCTTTACGCCAGGTCGTGTTCAATCTTCACCTAGTTTCCACCATTACAAACCATCCTCAGTCATCCAAAGCCATCCCATCTTGCTGAACATGGCAGATGAGCGCAAGTCCATCACGTCGTCGACTTATTCCGGTTACAGTGGGTCAGGCGAGACCGCCAAGATTGCTGCCATGATTGAAACCAAGCCCTGGGACGAAAACAACTTCTATCCAGAACATCCGAGGCGAGGAAGAAACGCGCAGCGAACAAGGCCGAGCGCAACAAGCAGGCCGGATTTGAGAAATAGGGAAAAGGACTTAGACTGGTATGCTCATTGATGAGCCTTGCATGGATCGCAAGTGGCTGAGATAGTCGCTCCAGTCACGGCCTTTTTCTCGACAAATCCTACAGTGTCAACTCTCCAGTATCTGGCCACGACGTGCTGAAATATGCCGGCGTCCTATTCGGAGTGAGCAAGCGCAAACAGGGTTTGAATTTTGTTGATGAATAAGTTGTACGCGATCCGCGGGATTTTAACAGCGGTCAAGTACCAGTGCCGTTTTCTCTGAAGAGAGTCTCTCATTGCTTGAGCATAGTCACGAGGGCGAATTCGGAATTCCTCGCCCTCATTGTCTTCTTCCAGGATCTGAATAAATTCCATACACGCCCTCTCGAGTTCCTGTTCATTCTCTCTTGTCACTTCTCCATCAATATCATCGAGCTCATGTCCAGAGAGCCAGAAACACGGATGTTACATTTCCCTAGGCAAACCACAGCTCCACTCAATGTCCACAATACCTGTGATCTTTTTCCACAAAGAAATTACTTTCGTGTAAATCCGTGAGTTGAAAGATAGGCGGCTTTCGCTGTAATGGCATATTCCTGAATCTCGGGTATAGTGCGTGTAGAGCGACGATGGTAGCCATCTAACCTTCCAAGTCGAGTTTACCACGGGCCGCATTTAGTTGATGTATTAACTGCTGATTGTAGCAGTTTAGGAGCCGATCCTAGATAGCGGGCGCGACAAGTTGTGAAGTATCCCTCGCAAACTCCGGAAAAGTGTTCTCCGATGTTCTGCGGTAGGACGTTCTACCGTAGAGAGTATTCGCCCTCGCTCTTCCTCGAAGAACTCCATTAATAGATAGCCGCTCTTCAATGAGAAATGACTTTGATAGGGAACGAATGGCCGGAAATATGGTTTTCGAAAGATCCACGACCAGTAATATTTTAGAGATGTTAACGCTCGCTGGTACTAGGGCGCGTACTCTAGAGCCGAGAACTATCATCTATCAGTCGATCGATAATTGAAAAGAGTACTTACTTACATGTAGGCCGCCTGGGAGTCTAAATCCCTACAGATGTGGAATGGGAACGTAAGGGTGATGCCGAGATACTTAAGTAAATGAAGCGGCCTTACAACGGAGCTTTTCGTCCATCAGTGCAGTCGTGTATAGTCTACCCAGCCGGTGAGGAAAAGGGCACCTAATTAGGACCCGTCGAGCACGTTAGTTACTGATAAGAATAGGGACATAGAGGTTAAATGTCCCCTTATCAAGCCACTGGGATCTTTCTGCAACTCTGCACATCTGGTGTAATCTTAAATTCAGATGTTAAGCAGCGATTACTTCGATGGCAGGTATCTCATTTTCAAGATACTTAGCGAATTCCTTTCTTAAATGATCTCATTCTACGTGTATCAGTATATTATCGTCTTCTTCCTCGAGCTCTTGCATCAATTTTTCCCATTGGCATCCCTCTTCTGTCTCGTTTGTTTGATCGTCTTGCTGCGGCGGCATGTCGACGAGTTAACGCAAGCCAATACTGGCCGAATGACAGGTATAGGGTGAAAAAAATCGAAAAGTAGTCAACCGCCCCAGCCTCAGTCGAAGTTCTCAGAGGTGGAATTATTGAAGATTGCTTAGTCACATGCAGGAGTGTCTCAGGTTAAAGTAGCGAGGCTTAGGGTTGCCCTCAGGTCCAAGGTTGGAAATGGAAAGTTCGCCTGTCGAGATTCCGACCTCGAATTCCCTATCTCCTGAAATCGCGAAGCGCTTGTCTTTGATTGGCAAGGCTGAACGGGGCAGCCGCCAAGGCTGAATTCTCTCCTTCGCCGCCTTGCGATCGATTGACCTCCCCTTCACTTACATAGCAATGCCTTATCTCCTCTCCATTATACCTCAGTGTTACATTAATACTGCGTAGACAGCAAAAATCATCCATCATGCATATCTCCTCGCGCTTTTGTGCTTCCTGCCACCCCGGATCAATGCATTCCTCGCTTGGTAGAAGCCTGATTAGAGAACCTGACACACTATCGGCCGGAGGACGGATGAAGCATGGCAGTGCTCTTAACCCAATCCCTCCCGGTCAGGTCACGGACATCTGCAATGCAGGCAGCCGTCAGGTCAAACTAGCCAAAACCGCGGGTGAAGGCCATGGACAAAGAGCACGCTGCGCCTTTGCTCCTGGTGGACCCTCTTGCCAGCTCTGCCTCACCTCCACATTCAAGACGAGCCAGCAATCACGCGCAGCTTCTTAGGGGAAGATCTGGCTTCTTTATAAGAGGCTTTCCATCTTCACCCTCAACAACTCCCGCTCTTGACTGCACCCCGCTACTACCACCAACAACAACGTACTCAAGATGACACAAATTGGCCTTCAGACCGCCGAGCACGAAGAAATTCTAAACCTCATCGACACGCTGCGGTTCCAAGGCATTAGTCGTTATGTTGATCTGCCCCAGGTTGTTGTCTGCGGTGATCAGAGCTCCGGCAAATCAAGCGTCCTAGAAGCTATTTCGGGCCTCCGCTTTCCTACCAAAGACAACCTCTGTACCCGGTTTGCGACTGAACTTATCCTACGACGTGGTCCTGCTCCCAAAGTTGTTGTCACCATCATTCCTAATGCTGACCGTACGGAGCGGGATGCCGAACGCCTCTCGAACTTCATACCTCCATCGACCTCCGTCGCCGACTTTGCAGACATTGTCAAATCCGCCGAGAAAGCAATGGGATTGGACAACGACAACACCGTCTTCTCCACAGACATCCTGAGAGTCGAGCTTTGTGGTCCACATCAGCCAAACTTGACCCTTGTTGATCTCCCGGGCATCTTCTGGGCGGGTAATCGTTCCCAGTCAGACAATGATGCCGAGCTGGTACAATCTCTCGTCAAGTCATACATGAAGAGTAAGAGGAGCATCATCTTGGCAGTCGTGTCAGCCAAAAATGACCTGGCAAATCAAATCATCACCAAGCTCGCGCGCGAAATTGACCCCAGAGGCCAGCGGACCCTGGGCATTATCACCAAGCCAGACCTGCTATTTGCTGGATCTGACAGCGAGGCTGCCTTTGTGGAACTGGCGAAGAATGAGGATGTCTACTTCAAACTGGGATGGCATGTTCTCAAGAACCGCGACTACGATACCAAAGACACAACTTCTGCCGAGCGAGATGCTGCTGAGAAAGAGTTTTTTCAATGCCGCGTGTGGTCCTCGGCGCTGCACAGCACCCAACTTGGAATTGATAACCTGCGCCCCCGGCTCAGTCGTGTTTTGCTCGGTCAAATTCTCGCAGAACTTCCTTCCCTGGTACGAGACGTCGAGCGAGAATTGACACTCTGTAAGGGCAAGTTGGCGGCTCTCGGTGTTCCGCGGGGGTCACTCCTCGAACAACGTGCTTACCTTTTCCACGCAAGTCAGCAGTTTGTTGATCTCACCAAGTCTTCCGTCCGTGGTACATACGAGGATCCATTCTTTGAAAGCGCAGATACCGACAAGGGCTACAACAAACGTCTGCGAGCTGTTGTTCAACACACGCTAACTACCTTTGCTGCGAGAATGCGCGCCGAAGGTCATGCCCAAGAGATTGTTGACAAAGCAATAGATGCACATTCGAAGAGAAAATTTGGTCCACAACTCATTTCTCGCAAGTCATACCTCGATTCTGTTGAGGCGCGTATGCGTCGTAATCGTGGTCGTGAACTCCCTGGCCTCTTCAACCCCTCCATTGTGGACGAGTTGTTCTTTGATCAATGCAGACCGTGGCAACATCTGCTCCACGAGACGGAGGAAAAACTGGCCACCGCAGCAAGAGCGACAGTCGAGCTCGTGGTGGAGCATATCTCTGATTCTGTCACTGGGGACGGCATTATGAGATTCCTCATCCGTCCCAACCTAGAGGCCATTTTCTCTAAGCTGCACAAAAAGGTTGAGGAGGTGCTCAAACCACACGTGAAGGGCCATGCTATCACATACAATCACTACTTTACCGAAAATCTGCAGAAGAAGCGGCGCGATGCAGAGCGAGAAGGGCTGGCAGAGAAAATCCTCGCATTTTACGGCGGAGGCCTAGACCCTACTTCGGACAACTCGGAAGAGAGAATGTTTCACTTTAGCACAGACACAGGAGCCCTTCTAACAGCTCTACTCCAAGATACAGAGTCGGATATGTCTAGATTTGCATGCATTGACGCGACGAATGCCATGGAGGCTTACTACAAGGTGAGTTGGCAATCGATCTTTGACGCTGTCCACACGATTGACATTGAAAGGTTGCGCTGAAGTCTATCATCGACTCCTTCGGGGTGTATGCTGTGGAACAATGTCTTCTCAATGAACTCCCAGATATTTTCAAGCCAGGAATGGTCTTCCAACTAGATGATGTTATGGTTACCAGGATCGCGGGCGAATCTCCAGAGTCGCAAGCCGAACGGGAAGGGCTCAACAAGAAGTTGAAAGTGCTTGGGGATACCATGGCCACCTTGAGACGCTTGAGAACAGTCGGAATATCCAGTGAGTCACTCTCCTTCCATGTACTTTTTAGCCTAGAGCTGACTGGCGGCTGCGACTTTCTAGCAGACGACCAGGTTTCCGAATCCAACCCGAACCCCGAAGGAGAAGAGAGGGAGCAGGAGGAGGAGGATGATGATTGAAGTGGTTTCTGGCTCGCGACGAATATCTGACAAGTCTCGTATTGTACGGTGGGTGGAGAAATCCTTGTTGGGAACATCATTGCAAGGCGAGCAGGAGTCAAGACGAAATGTGTTTTTTCAATGACAAGCACGAGACAATTGGACGGGCTTCTTGCGTGTTGGTTACAACGGTCGGCAGTGGAGAAAGAGCACCCCGTGTTTCTTTCATTCACAGAGTGTTTGTCTCTGCTAGACTAGATTTCATACATCATCATTGAGACGGAGGACTGTCTCTATTCATAAACGCTTAATTGGTCCAATCCTGGTCCACGATGGAGGGCAAACATGTCAAGCAAGACGCAAGCGACGACTCAAACGATTTCTAATTCATCCTCGCTTTCACTCTCGACGCCAACGCCGATACCAGGGCTTTGATCACCCACGGCCCCGAGAGAATCTCTGCCTGCCTCTCGAATGCCCTTTTCGGTGACGAAGCGCGTTTTCTTGACGGGCGAGAGACGCACATCTGCGGCGGTGCGCTTTCTGTTTTCATTTGTCGTGGTGTTCGTGCTGGTCAAGATACTTCCGGAAATGGGACCA